TGAAGGCCTGCAAAGAGGCGGATATGTTTGTGGTGTACCGTCCGGGCCCTTACATATGCGCTGAATGGGAATTGGGTGGATACCCGGCTTGGTTTCTAAGGGACCCTAACATCAGATTTAGGTCCAACTATAAGCCATATCTGGAAGCTGTGGGCAAATACTATACGAAAGTGTTATCCCTTATCGATGACTACCAGTTTCAGAAAGGAGGGCCTATTATAGCCCTGCAGTTTGAGAACGAGTTCGGAGGCATTCAAATAAGCCATATCTGGAAGCTGTGGGCAAATACTATACGAAAGTGTTATCCCTTATCGATGACTACCAGTTTCAGAAAGGAGGGCCTATTATAGCCCTGCAGTTTGAGAACGAGTTCGGAGGCATTCATAACGACAACGATAAGGAGTACTTCGAGTTCATGAAGAATGTCATCGATTCCCACGGATTCAAAGAATTGCTTATTAATTGTGATTCCGGATCCAATCCAGTGGAGGCTATGAAACATATATTACCAGGTACGGCTTATATTTTAAAATCTTATTACGATACTAATTTATAAATTTATATTAATATTTCTATTATAAAGTTAGTTAATTCTTACTAGATTAGTATTACATAATATAATAATAGTAATTTATATTTATAATCTATTCATACAACAGTAAATGTTTGAAAGTATTTTTTTTATAATAATAGAAAGTTTCTATTAAAAAACACTTATTATAATAAATATCGTGTATTTTCAGGTGTCTTAGAGACCGATAACTTTAACTCAAATTCATTGAAATACTTGACTGCCTTACGCCAGGCACAGCCTAATAAACCCCTACATGTCACTGAATGGTGGCCAGGGTGGTTTGACAAGTGGGGGGAGAAGGGTCACCACACTATGGACGTCAACTTTTTTGAAAAGGAAATCACCGATGTACTGTTCAAGGCCAATTCATCGGTTAATTTCTATATGTTTTTCGGTGGCACTAACTTTGGGTTTATGAATGGGGACCGAGTGGTCACTAGTTATGATTACGATGCACCGCTTTCTGAGACAGGTATGTTTTCATTTGATATGTGTTATGAGAATTAGTAATAAATTTGATTTTTAAGGCAACTATTCGGCAAAGTATTGGAAAACTAAGGAATTGGTTGAGAAGTTCACGAAAGAGAGAGGTTTACCACAACTTTTGGTACCAAAACCCCCGACATATGTAACACCGGTTTCTTACGGGAAACTCAAAGTTAAGGATTACTTGAGTTTAGAGGACGTGTTGACACAAATGAAGCCAATCGTCACCGAAAAGCCACAACACATGGAGTTATTAAACATCACAAACAATTCGGGACAACACTATGGGTTCATTCTCTATAGACTCAATAAACTCAACAAATTTAAACATTTGAAACTCACCGGTAATTACGAGTTAATTAAATAATTATTTTTTTATTTCTATATTAATGTGTTTTAATTACATTTGTATAAACAGGTGGTGCCGCTGATCGGGCAGTCATTCTCGTGGACCACAAAGAGGTCGCTGTCTTCGAGAGTAATAAAGACTATAATCAGGACTTAAATGACACACAATTTGCAAACACAACGACTCATACGTTGGATATAATCGTCGAAAACATGGGTCGACCCAATGGTGGGGCTGTTATGAATACCGCCCGAAGAGGTCTTAACGGAGATATCAGTATCGATACAAAAGTTGCCACAAATATCGAGACGTTTTCGCTTGATTTCAAAGAACCATTTGTTAAACAATTAACTCAATTGAAGGGAAAGTCGTTCGTTGAGGGCATCAAAAGTCCAGCCGTTTATCGGTTGGAATTGGATATTAAGGACAGTCCTAAGGACACATTCATACGACTGGACGGTTGGTCGAAGGGAAATGTATTTATTAATGATTTCAATATCGGCCGGTATTATAACATAGGACCCCAACTGACACTGTATATCCCTGCACCGTTACTAAAAACGGGCAAAAATGAGATATTAGTGTTTGAATTGCATTCATCGACCGGCCAGGTTGAATTTGTTGATAAACCACATTTGGGATAAATGCTTAAAATATTAAAATATAAACTTAATATCTAATTAATAAAATTTATTTAACTATTGATTTAGTTTTGTTATGTATTAAAAATTTAAACGATAAAAAATAAAACTAATAATAATAAGTATAAAGTTTATTATGATTACATGATGTTATTTGCTTAACCTGTTTCTAAGTACGGAATATTCCTTATATTAAGCAACATATTTCCTAAATAAATGATAAACATCTTATATATTTATAAATTTACAAGTACTATTAATTCAATACAATCTATAGTTCCAATGTTCAAATTAGTTAATATCAGATAATAACAGATCTCTGACCCTTTAACCAGTTAATTTTATAAATTATAATAAAAAATACTTTTAAATTCTAAATCAATTTTTAATGTTATAGTAAATTAGTAACAATTGTTTACATATTTATCCTTGACCCCTATAATAAATATTGTTTCAATGAGAATTGTCAGATTGTCAGATGCTGTTAATTTCTAGAATTTAGATATTTTAAAATATTAAGATTTTGATAAAAATCTTAGTTAAAATTTTTGGTAAAAACACTATATTAATATGATAGGATAGGAATTTTAAAAATATAATGTTCATGAGAATTAAAACATATTTTATATGAAAATAAATCAAAATTAATATTAGTGTTTGAATTGCATTCATCGACCGGCCAGGTTGAATTTGTTGATAAACGTGTAAACCCTATTTACGAATTTTATAATTTTATATTTGAATTATAGATTAGTTATTTTAAATAAATTGATAACTAAATCAAAACAATACATAATTTTCAAATTTGCTATTTTTTATTTTGATTATTTAACAATCAGTATAAAGTTTATTATGATTACATTATGTTATTTGCTTAACCTGTTTCTAAGTACGGAATATTCCTTATATTAAGCAACATATTTCCTAAATAAATGATAAACATCTTATCTATTTATAAGTTTACAAGTACTATTAATTCAATACAATCTATAGTTCCAATGTTCAAATTAGTTAATATCAGATAATAACAGATCTCCGACCCTTTAACCAGTTAATTTTATAAATTATAACAAAAAATACTTTTAAATTCTAAATCAATTTTTAATGTTATAGTAAATTAGTAACAATTCTTTACATATTTATCCATGACCCCTATAATAAATATTGTTTCAATGGGAATTGTCAGATTGTCAGATGCTGTTAATTTCTAGAATTTAGATATTTTAAAATATTATCTAAAACTATTTTTAGAATCAATTTTAAAAACCATTTTTGTGATATAATTATACTATCCTATCCTTAAAATTTTTATATTACAAGTACTCTTAATTTTGTATAAAATATACTTTTATTTAGTTTTAACAAATCTTTATACGATAAGTAATAGGATTTTAAAGGTATAGTGTTTTTCCACTTTTTGCACTAAAACTTTCTTGTTACTCTTGTTTTTGTATTCGGAAACAATTTGTTTTTAAATTTTTGTATATTTTCGGCATTTATTAAATGACCCATTCTTTTATGATTATAATTTTAAATTTTGTTGATTTTTAATGAATATTAAGATAACATTATGACAATGAAGTTGTCATTAGTCTTATGTGTAGTATTAGTGTCATTCAGTGTCTATAGTAATGGTGCCGAACAGACAAACTACGAGTACTACACGTCCGGTGGTATCAAATCGGGTCTGAGGGCCGACTCCGTAGACTTCACTCTCAACGGAAAGAAAATCACTTTATTTAGCGGTTCTTTGCATTACTTCCGATTACCCAAAGACTACTGGAAGGACAGGCTATTNGGGCCGACTCCGTAGACTTCACTCTCAACGGAAAGAAAATCACTTTATTTAGCGGTTCTTTGCATTACTTCCGATTACCCAAAGACTACTGGAAGGACAGGCTATTGAAGTTCAGGGCCGCCGGACTCAACACCGTATGTATAAAACCTATTCATAAAAACTTTAAATTTATGAATCAATTAATAGGTCGAAACACTATCCCACTGGAACCTCCACGAGCCAGTACCAGGGCAATTTGACTTTGAAACTGGATTCTTGAATTTGCGAGACTTTCTAAAGGCATGTCAAGAGGCGGACATGTTTGTGGTGTACCGGATGGGCCCCTACACGTGTGGTGAATGGGAATTGGGTGGATACCCGGCTTGGTTTCTAAGGGACTCTAACATGAGGTTTAGGTCTAACTATAAGCCATATCTGGAAGCTGTGGGCAAATACTATACGAAAGTGTTATCCCTTATCGATGACTACCAGTTCACGAAAGGCGGTCCCATAATAGCCCTGCAGTTTGAGAACGAGTTCGGAGGCATTCATAGTAATGATGATAAGGAGTACTTCGAGTTCATGAAGAATACCATAGAATCTCATGGATTCAAAGAATTGCTCATAAATTGTGATCCCGGGTCTAATGCCGTGGAGGCTATGAAAACTATTCAACCAGGTTAACTATTTCAGTTTACACTATTTCAATGTGACTATAACTATTTAACTATAATATATTTGGAAAAATATTTATATTTTTAATCTAATTTAATGAATGAGAGTTTATAAACCTCAAAGTTATTAATCAATTATTATTTACAATTTATAAACAAATTTATAAAAGAATTGCTTTAAAAATACTTAAAACCTTTGCAATCCATTAGCAAAAAGATTTAGCTATCAAATAATTAAATTACTTTTTTAGGTGTAAGTATTCTATATTACAAATTATAAACTATATTAATATGTTTATACTTTAGAAATTTAATTTATATATTTACTTGCTACTATAATATGATTACTGTACTTGCTAATGTTCGTATTAATTTAAAATGATTTTTAGGTGTCTTAGAAACCATTAACTTTAACTCGGATTCATTGAAATACCTGAATGCCTTACGCCAAGTACAACCTAATAAACCCCTATTTGTAACTGAATTCTGGCCAGGATGGTTTGACAAATGGGGTGATAAGACTCACCACACAATGGATTTAAACTTTTTCGAGAAGGAGGTGACAGACATACTGTTCAAAGCAAACTCATCCATCAATTTCTATATGTTTTTCGGTGGCACTAACTTTGGGTTTATGAATGGAGATACTGTGGTCACTAGTTATGACTACGACGCACCCCTAACTGAGTCAGGTAAGTTTTGATAAGTATATGTTTAGGAATTTTTATTAATTAGTTTTATTGATTTGTAGGCAATTATACCGCAAAGTATTGGAAAACAAAGGAATTGATTGAAAAGTTTACGAAAGAGAGAGGTTTACCACAACTATTGATACCTAAACCTCCAGTCTTGTCGCTAACCACTGGTTACGGGAAACTCAAAGTAAAAGAATTAGCAAAAAGATTTAGCTATCAAATAATTAAATTACTTTTTTAGGTGTAAGTATTCTATATTACAAATTATAAACTATATTAATATGTTTATACTTTAGAAATTTAATTTATATATTTACTTGCTACTATAATATGATTACTTGCTAATGTTCGTATTAATTTAAAATGATTTTTAGGTGTCTTAGAAACCATTAACTTTAATTCGGATTCATTGAAATACCTGGATGCCTTACGCCAAGTACAACCTAATAAACCCCTATTTGTAACTGAATTCTGGCCAGGGTGGTTTGACAAATGGGGTGATAAGACTCACCACACAATGGATTTAAACTTTTTCGAGAAGGAGGTCACAGACATACTGTTCAAAGCAAACTCATCCATCAATTTCTACATGTTTTTCGGTGGCACTAACTTTGGGTTTATGAACGGGGATACTGTGGTCACTAGTTATGACTACGACGCACCCCTAACTGAGTCAGGTAAGTTTTTATAAGTATATGTTTAGGAATTTTTATTAATTAGTTTTATTGATTTGTAGGCAATTATACCACAAAGTATTGGAAAACAAAGGAATTGATTGAAAAGTTTACGAAAGAGAGAGGTTTACCACAACTATTGATACCTAAACCTCCAGTCTTGTCGCTAACCACTGGTTACGGGAAACTCAAAGTAAAAGATTACTTGAGTTTAGAGGACGTGTTGACACAACTGAAGCCAATCGTCACCGAAAAGCCACAACACATGGAGTTATTAAACATAACACAGAATTCCGGACAAAGTTATGGTTTTATTCTCTATAGACTCACAAATCTCAACAAATTTAAACATTTAAAGCTCACTGGTTAGTTAACTTATAATAAGTTTTGTTTTAAATATTAATATTTATTTAAATTTACTTTAATAATAGGTGGTGCCTCTGATCGGGGAGTCATACTCGTGGACCACAAAGAGGTTGGTGTCGTCGACAGCAATAAAGACTATAATCAGGACTTAAATGACACACAATTTGCAAACACAACGACTCATACGTTGGATATTATTGTCGAAAATACCGGTCGACCCAATGGCGGGGGTGTTATGAATAGCGCCCGAAGAGGTCTTAACGGTGACGTCGATATCGATGCAAAAGTTGCCACAAATTTCGAGACATTTCCGCTTGAATTCAAAGAACCATTTGCTAAACAATTGTCTGAATTGAAGGGAAAGCCTTTCGTTGAAGGCATCAAAAGTCCAGCCGTTTATCGGTTAGAATTGGATATTAAGGACAGTCCGAGGGATACATTTATACGACTGGACGGTTGGGTGAAAGGCAATGCATTCATCAATGGTTTCAATATCGGCCGGTATTACCACATCGGACCCCAACAGACACTGTATATCCCTGCACCGTTACTAAAAACGGGCAAAAATGATATAATAGTGTTTGAATTGCATTCAGCCGCAGGTTCAGTTGAGCTTGTTGATACCCCACACTTGGGATAAATGTTTAAAATACAAATTTTCAACCGATTTATAAAACCTATTTGACTATTAATTAGTTTAGTAATGTAATAAAAATAATTAATACTGTACTTATTTAATTATTAATCATAATATTATTTTACAGTACAGAGGGGTGTTAGCTATTTTTAATCTAGTCAATTATTTATACAATATTTATAGTTTTTAATTTTAAATATATTCTAAACCAAATTATTAATTAGAAATAAAAATAGCTCAATATAAAATTAATAATATGATATTATCTGGTTCTGTAAACCTTATATAATTTTGTAAATAATATCATATGTTATTTTAAAACCTATCTACAGATATATAGTTTATTCACATGGTTTACATTGCCGTCCCTGATTAAAATGATTTATCTTATTACATGCAGGGAAAGACTTTTTTGGACATAACTTTATGTAACCTGAAAATCAAAGAATAAGTCAGTAAAAAAATTAATTTTTAATATTATAGTTAACAGGATTTTGAAGCACTGGAATTTTTGCAAAAAATATCATGAGAACCAAAAAATATGCTTTTAGTTAATGAACAAAACATAAAACGTTATTATTTTTATTAGAAACAGATTTATTTATTCATAAATTGCAAAAACTGATTAGACTTCTCTAAATTTGATATCCCTTTGCAATTATGTATAATCAATATAAGCTCAATATACTGTAATATTTAAAATATTCTTGCAGTGTATAAATTTACTATTAATTGTCTAGCAGTTTATTTATGAATATCCAGGTAGAATTTTTGCACCACACAAAACATTTCATATCAAGTCTATCGTGACGTGTTTATTAACATTAAATTATGTTTCATTTTTAATTGTGGGAATTTAACAAAAGCTACTTCCAGATAAAATTGAGCTTTATCAAACATTAAGAAAACAAAGGTTTATTAAAAATCAATTCAAAATTCATATCTTGCTGTGGAATATATGATAAGAAAAAGACTTTGATACTTTTGATAATTTTACAAAAAATATATGTCTCAATAGTGAGAACCAAAACAAATGCTTTGATAACAAAATACCAAACATTTTGTATAAAAGCTGTGATTAAAAAAACAAATCACTGTTATATTAACGTAATATATTTTTATAAAACAATTAAATTAATAAATTATCATACATTAAGACAATGAAGTTGTCATTAGTCTTATGTGTAGTATTAGTGGCGTTCAGTGTCTGTAGTAATGGTGCCGAACAGACAAACTACGAGTACTACACGTCCGGTGGTATCAAATCGGGTCTGAGGGCCGACTCCGTAGACTTCACTCTCAACGGAAAGAAAATCACTTTATTTAGCGGTTCTTTG